AAAAACGTTGATGTGTACGCAAGTCCAAAGCTTTGCACAATGTACCATTATCTGGCAACGGTAAATTGTTCCAGCGTTGTCCTCTAGAGGGAAATAGATGAAAAACCAGCTGCGTGTCCAAAAACATTTCACTCTCCCGCCCAAGCACAATTCTCTCAGAGGAGACAACTAAGGCCGTGGCGGCCGCCACCAGCGCCATTCGTCGCCGCCGCCGCCGCCGCCGCCTGGTATTCTGAAAGGAACTTTAGCCGGAACAGAAACAAAACTCCATGGATGATGTAGATCGTTTGTTTCAATGCTTCAAATGTGGAATCTCTCCTCCTCGTAAATCTCTCTTTCTTTCTCTTTCATTTTATCATTTTCTGCTCATTCTCGCCATCTATGCAATAATTGTTGACTTCAATAGCGTAAGAGGATGAATTTGTTCCAATTGACGAGTTCTTTCAGAATCTGCGGTCCGAGAAAAAGGACAAGGGAAAAGAAAAATGAAAATGAAGCAAGAGCATTCGCCACCACTACAGGCCTCCGCAGTTTCTGAAAATAAGAAAGGAAATCCGAAATATGTCAGAAAGTTCTCTCCGGTAGTTTTCTACGGTTCTCCAAATGGAGTTCCTCCGAAAAGGCCATCAAGTTTGCTCAGATTGCTGCACGAGATTCGTGTCGATCTCGCCGAACACAATGAGTCGAGGTAAAAAGTGGTTTTAGATTTTACAGGGAGTTGGAGAAAAAACTGGTGGATTGAAAACTTGTGGTTATGGTGTTTGTGTTAGAGAGGAGATATGGACTACATTTCCGAGACAAGATGAAGCGATGAAATTCGCAAAACAGCATATGAATTCGCGTATTTTCAGTTACCAGGATCATATGAGTGGTCAAAGGAGGTTTCTTGTTTCCACGTATAAGGAGTTTTGGCGAAGGTGGGTTCATCATTTTTTTTTTCTTTTTTTTTAAGTAACTTTCTATTTTGTGTATGTAAGTGTGTTGCTTAAGTGATCTGAATTGTGTTTTTGGTGGATATGCATGCTACGTGATAGGTATAAAGACATGAAATCAAAGTTTCGCCATCATTACGAAGTAATTCAAGAGGTAATCTTCTTTGCATTTGATCCGTTGTTGATAAGCTGAAATTGCAAAAAGCAGCAGCCTGTCTGTGGTGCAAAAGTTCAGTCCTATAGAATGAATTTGTACATTTTATGTCTGTGGTAACTAAATGATGTTCTACTTTTTAGGGATTGCCATGCCACCTTTATTTTGATTTGGAATTCAACAAGAGAGAGAACATCGGTAGAGATGGAGATGAAATGGTGGATCTCCTGATAAATGTTATCTTTGATCTGTTACTTGAGATGTATTCTATTCAAGGAACTGAAGATTTTGTAGTTGAACTTGATTCATCAACTGAAGGTAGAAAATCTGTAATGTTTTTTCATGTTGGTTTTTCCTGATACTTATTATTGTTTCATTGTATGGAACATCTGGCATTATAGCAAATTGCTACTTTCATTGGTATGTAATGCGGGGTGGGGGTAGGTTGGGGTGGGGGTGGGGTATGGATTGTTGTGAACTAATGGTTTGAGACTAGTATTTTCAATTTTGCTTGGAAGTGTATGACGGATTATCTTTTTAATATTTTTGTGCACAGAAAAGTTCTCTCGTCATTTAATCATCAGGATACCAAGGACTGCATTTAAAGACAATTCACATGTTGGTGCATTTGTTGCTGAGGTAAGCTACGCAAATGCGTGTAATGGATATCCTGTTCACTTGCAGTATTTGTAAGCTACACCTTTTTCGGCATCAGCCTACGTAGATGTACGGAGTCATAGTTGATCCATGCTATTTGCTAACACCTTAAGCAAAGATGACTTCCAGTTTTTTCACATTCTTTGGTATATAAAGGTTAGATTGTGCGATACTTAAACCTTAAGGTTATCATAAATCTGCATCTGATCTAATGTTCTACAGATACTACATCTCAGATATCTTCTTCACGATTATGATGTCTTCAACATATAAATTTTACCTCCATTCTCTGTCTTGTGGCCAGATATGTTCGCGCATTTACATTTGTAAAGTAAAAGATGAAAACTATGAAAAACTATTTGTCTCCAAGAGTCCAAATTCTGCTGATAGCCAGTGCCAACTTTTTATCGACACTGCTGTCTATTCCAGAAACCGTTGCTTTCGACTGGCATTTTCATCAAAAGCAGGGAAGAGCTCTTTTCTTCTGCCTAGTGGGCGTTTCAAATGTAAGGACATGGTAAGAAGCTTAGTTCCTTGAATCTGGCATCTTACTTGGATTTTTTTTATTGCATATTTAATTACTCATACTAATAATCCATGATAGGGTTGATTTCATATGATTTCCTCCACAGTCCACAAAACCACGAGAACAAAGACAAGAGTGGATTGCTTTTTAAGTTTACAAGCATTATATTGTTCCAAACATATTTAGGCATATAAGAGTAATTCCATATATACTAGTTCCAAAATATGCTTACATATGGTAGTTTTAAGAACTTGAAGCATGTGCCCTTAGCTAGGACTTAGGAGTCATTTGGGAACTAATTAAATTGGTATCTGGAGTCGGGATGAGTTGCTTTACTGTAACATCAAAACAAAAGCAAAATGGTAGTCAGAAATTTATTAAATCTGCATTTTAGTACTATTAATGCTCAAGAAATGAGGTTTTGTAATTCATGAGGCAGGGTGAAGAAGAAATATTTATGACATCACTGATTTGCAAAGTGGATGCTGATTCTGAGAAACTCCTAATTTGCAAGATGGATTTAGAATGTGTGAAGGCTTTGCACTTTGAAACGGAGGTAATGTACTCTTGCAGTTTTCTTTTCATTTTTTTTTTCTTTTTTTTTGGAACTTTTCATTGATTTCTCTGGCTTGCAACATCTGTATGTACATGCTTTTTTCCATCGAATTATTCTATTAATATGTACCCCAGAACTCTCATACTTGCAGATCACCGGTAACATCAGTAAACATTCTAATGGCCCTGAGAAGTTTTATTCGAATGCCTTTACAAGTGAAGCTCCATCAACTTACATGTCAGGAAAATCGCCATACCCTGCTTTGGATGCATTTGTGGAAGCAATTGCTTCTAAAGGAGATGTACCAGGCGAGTCAATGTCTTTAGATCACATTTTCTTAAAATTCAACTGTTGTTTTCTCCTTGTACATTCATTTATAAAAATTTATTGTTCACAGGGAAAATTCGAAGCTGGTACTGGTTCTCGGAATTCGAACTAATGGTCTACAGCATGTCTAGAAACAGATATTGTGAAAGAATTGGCAGAGAACACAAAAGCAATCACGGTAATTTGTTTCGTACCAGTTTATGCTCGTTTTCCTTTCATCACTTCTCGACACTTTGGGATTATGTTAAACAAACTTGCCTACATTTGTTTCAGTTATTTATGTTGTTGACCTAAGAAGGGCTGTCTATTATCAAAAGTGTCACGATCCAGACTGCAGAGGTGAACTGTTTTTTTCCTCTACCTAGATGTGTTTCTTGATTTCTTTCTTTCTTTCTTCTTTTTGAATAATATGTTGTGATAAACTTTTATTATGTCCTGGCAGGTTATCGATCTCCAATACGTGCAGTCCCTGATGATGTTATTCCCGATCCCCATTTTCTCTTCAAATTTTCTGGAAATATAGAAAATGAGGGGCAAATCGGTCCAGCAGTTGAAGAAAATGGCACGGACAGCTGCAGTAAAGACGAGTGGTGGGATGAAGCTGTAAAAGTTGCTGAACAGGTTGAGCAGATACAGAAAGCACTAGACATGGCTCAAATGGTTAGCTAAAACATCTCTTCTTTCTTCGCCTTAATCCTCTAAGATGATCTGGTTGTGTTCGATCTTTTGAGATAATTAATACAGTCAACTTCATTTTACAAAGATGTTAATAATATTAAAATAACAAAATGTTAATTTTCTACATACACGCAAAGTAAAGTTATCTGGTAGTGTATTTTGTATGAAATCATTTATTTGTTATATTTTTCATGAATATTAAAAAATTTAAAGCGGTCCAATTTATAAAGTTGATAGCAATGCGGTTTGGATTAAAAAATGTACAAAAACGAGAATATATCTTTTCCAGTTGAGAATGTTTATTGGGTTGGAGGTGAATTATTGTGTGTTTTGTTTTGTGGGATTGGAAAACGGGCTTTTCTTTCAAATTGACCTTATTTACTAATCGTGTAACTGCACCGTGGGTTTTTATTTGTAACCAAACATTTTACACACACCCACAAATCTGTAGGTCCCGTGGACAGTACACATGGGTAGAATCTCGTTTTCAGTTTTGGAGATAATCCTCAATGTCTCTAAGTAGTATGTCACAAAATTGAGAACGAGATATCATAATTTTTTGTTGTATGAAGCAAAAATTATATAAATGTTTGATGGTTTTTGGTCTTCTCTTCTCAATTTATTGGGTCATATTTTTCTTGTCATGTGGATCCCTATTCAACATTCGAACAGGAAGAAAAGAGCGAGGAAGATGAAAATTGGTGGATGGCTGTTGAAAGTGCTGCATCCGAGATTGAGTCAACATACCTTCAGAGCGAAAAATTGGCCATTCGAGATAATATGCTGCTAGTGTAATTGAGATCACAAGTGTATCATTCATGTCTTTGTTCACACGTCGGCTGTACATTACGAATAAGCAAATTGAAAATAATAATTATAATTATACATGCATGGTCAAAGGCGGGAGACTAAATGACCAACAGTAAAAAATTGGTGACAAGTTCTTTGGGGTATGAACTTAAAAGTGGTTCTTTTTGCGGACTTTCAGTTTGGTCAAGGCTGAGGGAATTGGATGTAGCTATGTTGTGCTTTTTCTATGTTAGTGTGAGGGGACGCCCGAATTTTGTAATGTGTATATATTTGATTGAGTGATTGCTAGTAATTATTGAATAAAATATTTATTTGATGTGGTAGTCCTAAAGGCTTTCTGGAAATTCTGAAGATATTTACATATAAAGAGAGATTTTTTTTTTTTTGGGGGGGTAACGGCGAAAAGATAGATTTATCTTGATGAAAAATTAAATCAACTGCATAAATGAAATATACGTCGTGACGATCACTTGACCTGACTCGACTAATGTTCGTGCATTAAATATATACCTCTTTTATTTATCTTCCACAAACAAATAACATAAACTTGTGATCGGGGATAAACAGTGAAGAGAAATTCTTGTCATTATGAACTTTACAACTAGCGAATAAATAAGCAGGGCGATTGTCCTGCAGGCTAATGCACAGCTTCTCTCGACTAGTTGCACTGAGAGAAACACAAAAGATGCGTAAAGATGCGTTGAGCTTACATGTAGGGCGATTGAGAAACACCTACGACTCGGTCTGTTGAGCTTCTTTCTTTTGCTGATATTTGTGTGTTCGAGGGAACAGCAAGTCGTTTAGTTGCCTCTCAGCACTATATTCTGACGAGGCCTGCAAAAGATGCGTAAAGAAGAAAAAAGAAAATGAGATATATGTATAATGTATAGTTCATAGAAAATTGAACATGGCGAAAAGCTATTTATCATGCAGACTGTATTCTGAATAAGCCTGCAAAGCTATGTATCTTTCACCTACACTCGCATAGAAACACACATGTGAATGAGATTCTTAAGGTTACACATAAAAGAAAAAAAAAAAAGAAAAGAAAAAAAAGCAATGTTACCTTCTTCTTGAAGCCAAATCGTAAGGTCTGAAGTTGTGTTCCGGAGCAAACTCGCACATCAAAACCAAGGCTGTCTACTCCAATAAGAGCACACTCCTGATGTCATTTCAGCTAGGAAAAGTTAGAATCAAGAACTGAACACTCACCGCATATTAAAAAATTCTATGAACTATCCTAGTTTTGTGACTGCATACTAAGGTGGAAAAACACTCTCAAATGATTATTGAACAAGTGCAAGGGTGTGTGGGACAATTAGGTAGCATGTTTTTGAAGGAAAGGCCAATTCTTGCTGAAGGCTGTGTGTATGAAGAGCAAGACTGGAATAAAATGACCCATTCCCTTCCATTTTCTCGAAGCTTTCGGTTTCTATACAGAATGACGGGAAGTTAATGCAAATTCTACTCCAGTTCCACTGCTTATCAATTACTAGGACCAACTGTAAGAAGTAAACCTTTTTTTTTTTTAATTCGGAGTCTACCTCCACTTGAATACCCTTGGATCTCCAACACAGAGATTTTAGAGCTTGCATGGTCTTTTCTCCCCCAGCTTTGAGACGGGATATGATTTTTGCAGCTGAATGTGCTATGGCATCAGGCTTAGCCCTCCTAAAATCTTCTATTTCAACTTCACTCTGCAGCAACAACACAATCATCATACAACACTTTCAACTTACTAGCTGAGAAAAAATGATAGGTTGAGTCCGTGGCGCATAATTTACTACATTTAAGAAGATAACACATCACTCCACAATGTCGGGATTATCCAGGTCATCAAAGTATGACCGATGCTATAGAGTAAGCAGAGTTTCACCAAATTATGACGAAAGCAGGTTGATTGCTTTTAAGGGTTACAGTTAATATCGAAATTGGTGTAAGGAATAAAGGTATTTTAAATCAAGGCTTTACCATGACTCCTTGAGCTGAAACTAGCAGAATCTTAATCATCTCTAGCTTGTAAAATGCAAATCCATTTCCCAGGGATTCATCCTTCTCCAAGTCTCCATCCAAAGTTACGTTATCCCTCGTAAATTCTTTCGCATGTCTATGCCCATTGACATGTACGCCTCCATCGACATTTATATCTGTATCCACATCACTAGATTCGGGATTAGATATCTGTCTTTGAACAACAGAATGTTCTTCAATGAATGCAGGCCTCAGAAGGCCATGGATAACAAGGCCAGCAGAGAGCTGTTTCATACAATCTACAGGATCATCCGAGACAACCTATATTGGAGAAAAGAAAAAGGTGGCTGTTGGAATCACAAGATGCTAAGCTCGTAAGAAAATATCAGGATAAAGATAGGTTGAGCGGGAAAGAAAGAAAAAAAAAAAAAAAAAACCTACTCCTTCTGTCCTACAAAGATAGTCAACAGTCAACACTACTAATTTCAGGTGTACAAGCTTTTTACTTCCTTCAATTTAGAGTATTTATATTTACATGCCTTTCCGCCCATTTAATTAGTGCAACTAACACTAAACAGAGTTCTGAAAGTATGATAATTATACGCTTATACGGTTACTCAGAAAGTACTTCTAAATATTACTCTCAACAATAATAATTGAGTTCTCTTGAATTGTGTGAAAAGGCGATAACTCTCATCGTGGAGAGGTGTATAATCTCTTATTTCTTCATCATGATACTTAACCTCCAACAAATGCTAAAATTGTATTGTCCAGCCTCCTAATAATATAACGTAATAGCGACCTTCACATCAACGAACTTGCAATTAAACCGACCAAAATCAGGCCTTGTCACAATTAAAGAGTAAAATTAAAGTAGAAGAACAAGAATTGTGTGCTTTGTGGTTCAGCTTCCCTCAATTTTCTTCAGTAGTAACTGGATTGTCTTAAAAACATATTTCACATTTCATTTTTTAAATCTAAAACCTTAAAATAGAGTTACCTCAGCTAGTTTTTCCGCGAAATACATCGGATGAGATGAACGCATGGTATCCAATTTAGCCCAATCTCGCAATGACCCATCAATCTCTTCATCCCCATTCTCCTCATCAAGAATGTCTACCCAGTCCTGCACGTGAACTTGATAGTGGTTAACGACTTGGAAATCCAAAAACTCTGATAGCAAGGTTAAAAAATAGAGTGGAAAATATCCTACTTCATCATCTTCGTCTTCACCACTTTCATCATATTCGTCATCATCCTCTTCCTCATCATCCTCGTCCTCATCGTCAAACTCGCTGTCATCCAGCTCATCCATGCCAAAGTCCGTTTCTGCAAGACCCAGTGCCTCCATCTCACTCATCATTTCTTTAGTATCAAGTCCAATGATGACTTGCTGCACATGTTGAAAAATCAACAAGCAAGTCAGGTGAATATTACAACTTGCATGGAAATACAGCAACTAGACATGCACAAGTAGAATATATCAACTGAAAACCTTGGCATCTCTCAACAATTACAAATATATAGTTCATGATCCACACTTCTTAACTTATTTAAATGATGATCAGACATGAATTGCTTATGTTACAGGATCCAAAACAGTTGATCTTATAGCAGCATACACACACGAACATGCACACTAAGAGCAGAAAAAGAGAACTTCATCGTTCAAATCAACAATTTCGGTACTCCAAAATTGTGTACATTACAATTGATCTTACCACGACAGTTTCCTCAGATGTAACGGTTTGCAACATATCATGGAAAGTTTCCTCAGAAGTAAGGTTTTGCTTTTGCAAGATATCCTCATTAGTCTTCACTTGAAAGTAAACATCTGACCACAAGGAAATGGAACTTAATAATGACAAAATAAACTATCAAACAAAAACACAACCGTCAAAAGGTATCTTACTTCCATGTTCGTCGGTCACATAAGGGAAGTCTTGCCAGAATATGTTCTCACTAATTTCCTCATTGTCTACACCGGAAAACATCAGTGTGCCCTTGCTATTCACCTAACAGAAAAAAGAAGCTTAACCTAAAATTAGTATTTCATCTGGCAGTTCAAAATTGAAACTATCCACTAGGATGCTAAACTTGCCGCAAAATCATGAAACACAGTTTCCGCTTAAACAAGACCCACAGGTTCCATTTCGACAATTATACCTCGATTATTGTTCGCGAAGTCTCGGCAGCCGTGAGCTTAGCTTCGCCATTGTCAAGAAACCGCGGCTCTGCAATCTCCTCAGATGGATGATACCTCTGCGGCTTTGCATTCGGCTTCACCGGACCTGAATCCGAGCCTGACTGTTTTTTCGCACTCGCTCTAATTGAAATTGCATTCTTCAATCTACCAGCACACCTCCGATACTTAATCCTACTCCAAACAAACAATAAAATCCAACATTATCCACAAACGCTGCATTTTGCACATTGGAATCCATAAACCTAGCTGCACCTAACAGAGTGAAATCGATTTGAACCGAAGTAATTACCGCGGGATGAGAAAGGAAGATGAGTGTGCGAGGATACGAGTGGAAGAGTGGATGTTGACGGCGGCGGAGATGCGGGAGGCGGCGGCGGCGGCGTGAGACTCTATCGCCATCATTTTATTATGGAGCTCAGATCAGTTGAGTTATGGAGGGAATTAACTGGAGCTGAGGATTTCTCAGCTCATAATGTGGAGAGAGAAGTTTGGGAAAAGAATATGGCATTTTCATCTTTAGGATTTCAACGTGTGGTTCTATTTTATTTCACTCGGATTGATTAGAAATCGCGTTTCATTTGGATAAAGTGAGTTAAATAAATATCTAACACAAAATATCAGCTTTTGAACATAAACAAGTAAAACTGGCTCGGACGAATATACCATGCAAATTCTCTCTATCATCAGTCTTCCATTTTTTATTTTTCTCTTTTACTGGTTCAGCGCTCCTAACTTGCAACCTGGGTTGAGCATGGGTCGGACTGGCTTTTTGAAGACTCGTTTTAATATGTTTAATTAGAAAAACTTTAGGGAGATTTGCACCTGTACTGCACGTTTTTTAAATAATTGCACATTTACTACTCTAACTAATTAAATTGTGTTTATACCTAAAAAATAAAAATTAATTAAAGTCATGCCTAAATCAGTTACATGATATGGAACAACCTTTCCATATTTCTAGCCCATAATTTCAGCTCTCAAGATGGAAGGATATCATATTTGAATTTCAATTCATAATATTGACAGATACAGACAGGACAAAAGAAAGAAACACACGCGGGCGAGCAGAATTTTCCGACGGTCTTCATTCAGAATTTTTACGTGATCTCGAGTGTATATCTTAGGTATATTTTATGTATATGTGAGTTCTAAAATCGATTTTGAGAAACGATTGAAACTCGAGCGTATATTTAAAGTATATTTTATTTATATGTGGTGTCGCGGATTTGAGTTACGTGAATCTCGAGTGTGTATTTTATGCATATTTTATGTATATTCTATGTATATGTGTGTTGTACAACTTTGGTATATACCCGCAACGTGTGAATTTTCATATCTGATGGTAACATGTAAATCATGTACAGAATTTTCATACCCGAAATATACATATTGTCATATCGAAAAATATACTGAAAATATACTATATATACCCACAACATATACCCGCAATATGTACAGAATATAACTATCTATCAACAAATTAAGCACACCAAGTGTTCGACAGTTACCCTCTGAGAAGTTTTTCGTCAAAAATAGATAGAAAAAATTATATAATTAACATATACTGTACATATACACATCATATACTGTACATATAACACAATACAACACAAACGACAGAGGCGCACAAACGTTGACGAGACCACCGGTGACGGCCCCGCATCCGAACAACATCGCGCCGGAGAGCCGTCTGAGATGCCACAAGTCTCAGCCGCACAAGGTCGAGGAAAGTCGCGATCCGCTGCAGCCCTAGCGTCGGCGATCGATCTCCAGCCGTCCTCGTCGTTGCAGCCACGAAGCAACGACCGCACCTTGACGGGAGGCAGAACGTCACCTCTCCGACACCATCCCAAATCGCCGCCCCCTGAGCCGACGGCGCCCATTCCATCGCCGTCAATAGCTAATTTCGGCCAGGGGTAATTGAGTGGTTGAAAATGGAAGAAAATTAAAAGGAAAATTTTTAGAAGTAAATTTGCAGTGAAGAGGGTGAATTTGAAGAAGAAGGAGAAGAAGAAGAAATGGAGATCTGCAAAGGAGGAGAAGTAAAGGAAGAGGAAAGAAAAGTGACGGGAAATAAGAAGAAAAGAAAGAGAAGGAGGAAAAGAAAAAGGGAAAAGAAAAGAAAAATGTATTAATTATCTCAATTAATTCATAACTGATTCATTTTCCATATTTAAATCCTAAATTAATAAACTTATAAAATCTGGTATATGTGCAAATATGTTGGAATGATTTTCTATTTTTGCAAATAAATATTAATTGGATGTAAATATGTAATATAAAATATATATGATTGTATGGAGTGTAAATTCCGCAAAACTTTATTGATACATAGCCAAACCCCGGGTTTGGGCTGGTTTCGGACCAGGGTTTAGAGGAACTGGAATCCTGAACTTTGGTTCGAAACATAAATTGAATATGCAACGTCAATTTAAGGTTGCATGTTAAACATAAACTAAACTTCCCTCTCACGGCCCATGTAATAAGCTACACCAAGTAAAGCCTGTTAAACAATTAGTTTATAAGAATGATAGTTGTATAACCATTTGATTTATTAAAGGATGTTGGTTTCGAGATTGAAGAAAGTACCTACTTACAAATCAATTGTGAGTAAATAAGTTGATGGTTTAGGATTTAGCGTTGAAACTTTGGATCGTGCCTATCCACTTCAACCAATTCTTGATGGAATAGTCGGTAATTGACAAGACCAGTCAATCCATCATATTTTTAATAAATTCATGCAATTAACTCATACATAAAGTTATTTTATGAAATGAATCCCTCATTAGTTCGATTTGATTTATTAATCAAACAAATCAAACTAGAACTGGTTTAGGTTTACTGAGCTTGATAAATAGAATTTTTTCCATAATTTCCCAAAACTTCTATTGTACATTGGCTTGTTATGGCTCATTATCAAGCCGAACTCGAGTGAACCAACTTGACTAGCTCATGTTTAACTCTATCGATAAACTGCTAGAAGGAAAGCTCCCCCGCAATTTGTATTCCAAGGAAAGAAGAAAAGAAAAAAGGTCCAAAACACAAAAACCTTTCGAAACCATGTCATCTCAAAGTCTTCATTCCGATTCTCCAACGTCTAACCCATGTCTAATCAAAACTATCCCATTTTATTATAATTATTTCCTTTTCAATCCAAAAGGGGGCTAAAAAAGAATTAAAAAAAAAACTATCAATTATCCTGCAAATGCCGCATGTTTTGATGCCCTTTCTGTCTCACTCCTCATCCGAGCTACCTTCACTCTCCTCCTCCTCACTCGACTCTACCCTCTTCTTCCCGCCACCTCTCCCTTTCTTATTTCCATTTTTACCCTTCCCCTTCTCCTTCTCCTCCTCATCCTCACTGTACTCACTCTCGATATCCTCCTCGTCCTCCTCCATCTCCTCCTCCTCTTCCTCATCCTCCGCCCCATTCTCCAAAACGGGCCCCGACCCACCGCGCGACCCAGCCCGTGTCCTCCTTACAACCTTCATCTTCAACCCCGACTTCACATCGACCCCAATCCACGAGTCGCTCATCACATAACACACCAGCCCGTAGTTCCCTTCTGCCGGAGCCAAGAACCTGCCCATGGCCAGTCGGGCACCGGCCCGAACCCTCTCGACCGCCTCCCTCACGGCCGCGCTCGTCTCCCCCCCGGCCGCCTCCATCTGCTCCTCCACCGCCAGCGAGGCGGCACCAACCGCGCTCGCCTCGTCATTGAAGCTCAACTTTTGGGAGAACCACACGGAGTTTGAGGCGGGGTCCGCCAGCAGAAGCCAGAAGTTTTCGTCCTTGGGGAAAGGGTATTTTGGGGCGTGGGGAGATGCGGATATGAGGCCGTTGGGGCGTTTCAGGGTGACCCAGGCTTGGAAGGTGATGACGTCACCTTCCTGTATGCCGCCTTCCTCGCCGTGGGTCCCGCAGGTGAGGTCGACCGAGAGGGAAGGGATCAGGTCCATGACTTTCTCGACGTCTAGGATCTCGGGAGGGGAGAAATCGGCTACCTGGGAGAGTAACTCGGCTCGTTCGTGGACGGGGAGTTCTTGAAAATCTTGAAAGTTGCGCACTTTCTATGAGAAAAAAGAAAGGGGGAGAGTTGAAGTTGAGTGAACGAGCAGTGATTGAATGATATTATTTATCTATATTGATAATACTGAGGATACTAGGGTTGAGTTATATTTTTTAATGGAGATACATTTTTTTCTAGTTTTTTTTTTTATAAACAAGCAAAGCCTTAATGCTGAAGTAAGAAACAGAAGAAAACGACATCCTTGTGTTAAATATAAATTACACGACAAGACTGGTAAATACTAAATACATAAGAGAATACTTGCACATTTCAAATTTTGTTTTGGAAGTGTAAATTGAAGATCAGGATAGAGAAAAAATGACCACCTCCACTAAACAAAACTGTGGTGCTAATGCTACATGCCATTCGTGTAGTATTATGAAAATGATCTCTAGACTGGCACTTAGTAATATTTTACTGAAGGTTTTCTTTCACAGTTATGTTTAAAGTTTTTCTGAACCGCTAGAAAAGTAGGATTCACGTAATAAATTTATCCAAAAGAAAAAGTAAACCTCTCAATCTGCAACCACTTAGTAATATTAATATTCACCAACTCCCAGGAGAGGTGAACATATTATACCTTTCGGGATATTTTTTTGATTATATCATCATTAAAATGCGGAAGCTGTAAAAAGGGAGCGTTTCCCTCAGCAGAACCTGCCTTCCTAGCACTTAGGGGAACAGCCTACACCATAATCAATAACAGAAATATTAATTACATGAACATTAGGAAGCTTTATTTCAATTCAAAATGCAAAATATGTAAAGTTTAATTATTGGCATTTAAAATCTTTTTTAGATGATTAGTACCTGAACAAGGCACTGTGAAAGTTCAATAACTCCTATCGCAGGCCTAAGCCAGCCGTGCCCCTTAGCGGTGCGTGGAATGATTGCCATCTGTGATTGGTATGACGCGTTGAAATAAATGAGCACGGTTATTAAATAAATAAAAATCAATCCACAGAAAAAACACCTAAGATGGTTACCTTAATTAGCTCTTCAAGGAGGCGAGGCGAAATTTCCAGCATACGCTTGCAATCACGTTCCAAGTCTGGAGTTAAAGATGCCGTTTCTCGCAACAAGTGTGCTTGAATTAACAGCTCCGTCTGATGAACGCAGAATGCAAATGAGAGTCAAGACAATAAAAAAGTTATCGAAATCCAAGGGAAATTCAAAATTCATTGCTTAAAAGGTTCATGTTTTTACCTTCACAAGAGCAGGATGCTGCTTCCAAAATTTTGCTTGTTCCTTTTTATTATTTTTCAGGTCTATGTTCAGTTCACTTCTTACAGTCGTGAAGAGCTTATGAAGAGGTTCATCGTCCGACCTTCGAACAGGAATTTCCAAGAACTCAGCAGCCTTAATGAAGACCTCCATGACTTTGCTGCAAGATATATTATGATCATCATCATATCATGTTTCACTGGAGTAAGACAAACCAATAATAAATTAATAATAATCTATTTCTCAAAAGGGCCAATTCCAAGTACTATGTTAACATGGGATTACCTTCACCAATGGTCCCATTTAATGCAATTGAAAATTAACCGTCGTTACTACTGAATGAAGAGGATACAGTTTCGCCTCTTCTCTCGATGAGAAGATTGTAGTTATGGATCAAATTCACATAAAAAATTATCTACATGCAGATACTACAATACACTTCACTAGTCATTGAACTATAGGCGTACGACAGTCCCAGTTCAGGTTATCACTTTACTTCGACATTTGTGATTGTAAAGTGCCTAAAATATTTATTGTGTATCTCGCACAAGCAACGTAAACAAAAATACTAATGGAATAGATAAGTACCTTGGTGCCAATGAAGGTTTCATCAAGTGAAAATAGGCAGCCAGAGTGTCATTCTTGACATAATTTCCAGTATATTTTGAAGATCTTGATAGATACACAGCGGCCATCACAAGTGGCAACAATATACATATCCCAACAATCAACAATAGCAATATCCCTCCAGATGAACCATCAATATTAAGAAGAAATTGAGGAAGAGCAATCCCCATTTGAAATCCCTGCATCATATATCGTATAAGTATCATAACATGTTAAACTAAAATTATGACTTCAGCTACCCATTCAAGTTTTGAATATAATTTTATATCCTTTGTATGGTTTAATTTATCCATTAGAATCACTTTTTAAGGTTACCTGCCTACCATCAGGATGGCCATATTTTTCAAAATTCTCTCGAGAGATTGGATCAGTCAAAGCCTGGTAAGCTTTGGATATCGACTCGACAAAGAACTTATGAGCAGCTGAAATTTAAAAACAAAGTGATCTTAAGAAATGCAGGAAAACAATAAGTATAATACAAACATATGTGAGTTTGAGTTTGAGTGCGAGAGCGAGTGTGTTTAAACCAGCGACAATTGAATAACCTGGGTCAGGATTCTTATCAGGATGGTATTGTATGGAAAGTCTCCTATAAGCCTTCTTGATTGCAGAATCTGATGCTCCAGGCTCTAACCCAAGAATGCTGAACGGCTCAAAGACCTGAATCTGAGTTGACACAAGAAAATGTTTCAGTGAGAACAAGTGCATTTATCAACAACACATGCGAGCAATGGAAAATGAAGAGCAAGAACACAAGAATAAGACGAAGAAGAGTTTTTCAGATATAAGCATAACTAGTTATGCATGGATACCTCGTTGCTCATGTTCTTTATGTAATAAACAAGAAACACCACGATGACCCACAGCAGTACCAGAGTAAAGTTACCACATGTTGAGACATTTGCAATCTGAAACAGAAAACAAAATGTAACTGATTCTAAACAAATATAATCACTACTATAGGCCTGCAATTGCTAAAATAAATTAATAGTGGTTTAACAAAATATACCTACCCTACTAAAAACTGATTTACAGTACTTCCCTGACCGAGTACAATCAGAACAACCACAGTGGATGCTCTTAGCTTTCTTTGAGGCAGCACGGAATAATTTCAATATGGTGTAAGGAACCAAAGGCAGAGCAATCATCGATAAGATGAAAATTGGAAACAAAGCATTATTTTCTTCTGAATCAGCCATGAGTCAACTTAATCCTTTGCTACTACAAAAAGTACACCTACAAATGCATGTTTACCATTTAGAAAAAAGGGATTAAGACAAAAATAACTAAGAATATATGAAAAGTAAGTTATGAAAGCAAACTATTGTCACATTTCTAGAATCATTATCGCATAAACAGAAATAAAATGAACAGCAACTAGAAATCATAAGGATAGACAATTAGAGGATATTCAAAAAAGAAGTTTTCTATGTTTTTGCCCTTTGAAACAGCTCACAACTCAGATTCAGCCAGTTCTGTGAGTTTTCTTATGGACAGAATATTAACATTCAGAAGATTAAACACGTTTAAACAAGAAAACTCAATTCAGAAACAAGTTAAATCACAAACCACAAAAGAATGAAAACCCATACAGAAAAGATGAGGGTATGATGCATCAAGTGCAGCTCTCTCTTTCTCTATCTGTCTATCACACTCCTCACGCGCGCACGCCCAGAAAAAAGTAAAAAAATAAATAAATTAAAAGGAATCTCTGAGCTATATCACAAGTCATAACCTCTCCAAAACCAACAGAAATGGAGACACGAATCAACAACATCACGCATCAAATCAGAAACCCTAACAACATTCACAAGCAACATCAACTATGAAGGCTGAAAACATGATTGATTATGAAAGGGTAAACGTGACAAAAGGATTTTTACATGGAATTACCTAAATTCTGAGATCAAATCTCAAGATCTGAGACTTTGCAACAGCAAAGGGAACGTGAAAACTGATTTCAGTCCGATGGCGCGAAGATTGTAAGAGGGAAATAGCGAGTTTCTCTTCGATTTGGTTCCTTTTTTCAGAGTTTTCAGTGTGCCGTCAGGGCAACGGACATGCTGTTACGCATTTGCCCGAATTTAGCTTTGCATTTCATGGCGAGGACAAAAGTTGACCTTTACGGGATTGCAAGAAATTTATTAGAGAATGAAATTTTTGATTTTGTTTGAATTTTTTTGGTTTGGTTTGGTTAAATTTAAAAAAAGTGGTATGATTAGTTGTTAGTGGGTATATTAAAATAATAATTAAAATTGATTTGATGTAAAAATAGGAAAGAGATGATTAAAGTGATGGTTAGTTAAAATAATGTGAATAGATGAATAGTGAATTAAGACTATGTTTATCCGTGACCCAAAGGTCACGGAAATAAGACAAAAAAAAATTAAAAACAAAAAAAAAAAAGTCACAAACTTTGCGACCTAGGGTCTCGACCGGTTTTGTGTAGGAATGGGACACTTGTCCCATTTTTATTGCATAATTGTATTTTTTTTCTAAAAAAAATAAAAAAATACTAAAATTTATATTTTTTCATTCTCTACAAATAAAGACCACACTTGATATATTTTAAAATACAATTGCAACTTTTTAATAAATTAAAATAAAATAAATGTTTAGGTTGAGTTGGGTTGGGGATAAAGATAAATTGGGTTGGAAGATTGAGTTGTGTAGGTGGAGGAGAGAAAAATAATTTTTAATTATTAAGTTGGGTTGGGTTGGGTTGGGAATAAGGATGGTCTAAGGTTGATGTGGTGTGTGTGAATGATTGATATTATTTAATTATATTAATAATATTAATGATAATGGGGTTGAGTTAAAATTGAGTTAAAAAAATAGTTGAGTTAAAATGTTGAAATTTTTTTGAAAAATTTTCATAAACAAACATGACCTGAAGATAAATTATACAATTTACAACTCCAATACACTAATTAAAATAAAAAATGTTACACGTAATAAATGTGTATAGAGGTGTACATATTACTCACATAGAGTGAGTTCATGTACCTATAGCATTTTTCGAAAGAGAATTATATTCAAAATATATAAATAATTAAATATAATTTTTATTTTAAAATATTGAATAATTGAACTTACGTAATTTGTTGATCGAATACAAAGATTATCTCTCATAAGCTTCGATTGTATTATATTATAATATATTTTTCATGGATGCTACATAATTGGATTGACAAATATATTTATAATTATTTAATAGTGATTAACATATAATTTTTATTGTTATTGAGAAATATAAAGTTAACTTTTATTTTACATTATGATGTTACTGGATAAAATCAATATAGTATTAATTAGATAAAATATTGCGCAATAATATTTTGTTATAGTGTAAGTCACTAGTACACCACCAACGCGATGTGCGGCGTGCTATTATAAGTGATGTGTATAATAATTTAAATAAATAAAAAAAATTATTCAAGCTACTGTATAGAGATAATAAAAAGTAGGATAAAGTTTTGGTCTACCACACCTTAAGATGTTCATATAAAAAGAAAAAAAAGAAAAATCATAACTCTAGAAACAACAATATATGAGTGTATGTGATTAAAAATGCAATATGTTCTTTTCCTTCAAAATTTTAAAATTAAGTTAATAAAACTTAATAAACATGTATGTTGGAGTCTATGAGGATCTCATTATGTACAAGTCACGAATTCAATAGCAAACGTAAACCTATGCGCAGCGGATCTAAAGGTTTGACGTAGAAAACTTCGGCATAAAATTTTCTGAATCTGTCGGATTCAGGATGACCGGTAACAACACACGAACGCAAGCTGGATCACACGAACGGACGTCAGGATCGAGTCGGTCATGTGGGTTACCAGTGGAGTAACAAAAAGAAGATAAAGCTCGAATGAGATTTAGTTGATGCCTTTAATTTTGAGAATAATAGTTAATATGTTATAATTTTATGTTTAGTTATTATAATGTTTTGCATTGAAAAATTTACTCAATGAATTAAACATAAAGATATCGTATAAAAGAGACGGATTTTAATCTTTTAAATTCTATTAACTTTTATTTTGCCACATTATATAATTAATTATGTTAAGTTTTATATTATGTGGTTAAAATTTGCAATTTCAAAATAATCCACTTTGTGAAAGATGTATAAATAAAATTAAGACGACATTAGATTCTTATATTGTGGTTCTATAATGAACAGATATTATGATTTTATAATTGAAAAAACCCAAAGTGGGTGGTTTTAAAAATTTAAGAGATTAATCAATTTAGGACAATTAAGAGATAATTTGACAATAATCATTATTATTTTTTGCTTATATATATATAGATTTTTTTAAATAATTACTTAGTGTGAATTTGTATTATAATAATTTATTAGTTATTTTTTTATTTTGAAAAAACCAAAGTCTAGCCAAGTGAAAATAAGATCAATCAAACTATGAAATGCACGATAATGAAGAACAAAATCACTGCAGAAAACATGACATGCATATTTCTCTAGGTAATCACTAAAGCCTCGTTTACTAGGGTTGATAGGATATGATAAGGTTGGTATGTTTACTAGGTTGGTTAAGGGAAAGGACCATTCTGATGTGGCATGTAGGTCTCCCTTCATTAATCTGATGTGGAGGGATTGTTTTGTCCGCCCATTTTGGGAGGATAATTTTATCCCCAAGTTTAAGTTCCAATTTTGGGCGGATATTTATAAAATATTAATTTAAATAATTTTTTTATTTAATTTAAAATAATATTATATATAATCTAAAATAATTTTATTTAATCTTTAAAGTATTAATTTTATTTTAAAAAATATTGTTTAATATAAAATAATTTAATTTAATTTAAAATAATATTATTTAATTTATAAAATAATTTTATTTAATTTAAAATACTTTTATTTAATTTATAAAAATATTAATTTAATTAATTAAATCGGTAATTTTATGTATTTATCATAGACTTTTATCCACTTTTNATTTAATTTATAAAATATTAATTTAAATAATTATATATAATTTAAAATAATTTTATTTAACTTAAAATAATATTATTTAATCTATAAAATATTAATTTAATAAATTTTATTTAATCTAAAAAATATTGTTTAATATTATTTTCTTTAATTTAAAAATATTATTTAATTTATAAAAATATTAATTTAATTAGTTAAATCGATAATTTAATGTATTTATCATAAACTTTTATCCACTTTAGTAAATATGTGACAATTTGTATCCAAAATCTGATGTGGCAAATTGGAAGAATTAATTTGTCCAATCCCATCATCTCTAGTAAACGAGGCCTAAAATATTACAAACAGGCTCAACATGGCCAACCAAAGTCACATTACTCTATACCAATGGACATGACACTACCTATAATCATAAATATCTAAACAAATTCATCACTTGAAATTTAATTGAGAGAGTTATTGCAGAGGAATAAACACACACTGATGTAAACAAGAATAAAATGAAGTGAATTCCTGTGGACAGAAAAGCTCTCAAATAAGACTGGAATCGAATATCAATTCAAGTGGAAACAAAAGCTCTCAAATAGATTGGAAATGAATATATCATGATCCAAAAATATTAAACATGCTAGGTCACCGCAAGAAAATGCAAGTAGATTGAGAAAACAAAAAACCTAAGAAAGTCCCTAAACTCTCAACAACAATAGAATTGCATAATATAACTTTAAGGCCGAACCAATTCTGCCACCAAGGGCCAGAATATAAGAGAAGAACTGTATTCAGTGCGGAAGAAATAAAAAAATAAAAAACACAGAATGTTAACAAACCCCATAGCCACAAACATGTAGCACAATCAAATGCAAATCCTATAAACCAAGTAGTCCACCAAGGTACATCAAAAAGAAAAAGAACTTTACAATCACCCAACAAATAACAAACATAAATTGAACATGCAGAAGTCATTGAAAGATGTCAGCAAGAACCTACGATATTCTAAACAAATTCTGGGAAAAACTTTCACCTCAAAAGCTTGCCAGTTGCGCAATAAAAACTTAGGATAACCACCACAATCAGTTCAAACAACTCTATTTTCAGAAAAATATAATATTCGTTACTTCTTTGAAATACTAATCAGGAAAAATTAAACAGCGTGGGTAGTAATTATTGAAAAGTCGGTACACAAGTTAAAGTTATTATTATTGTTATTATAAACAGGCTATATGTTATCACAAGAAAATGCAGGTCGATTGAGAAAACAAAAAACCTAGGAAAGTCCCTAAACTCTTTGCAACAATAACATTACACAATCTAACTCACAGACAACCCAAGTCTGCTCACTGATAATGCTCAATTCAATGGTTATTGGCAACAAGCACACTAACAAAACCGAGAGAGTTAAAGAGATGGTAATAATAAATTAAAACAAATTATAGTATGGCACAAAAACGTTAAACCACACTGAAAAATAAGTGGGTCCATCCACAACCATGCAATATTGACTAATGGGAATCACATGGGTAAAACATTAAAGAACGACAAGGTGTGATTAAATGAGTATACAGATTTTAACACGATCATATATCAACAGTGTCAGACCATTAAGCATCAACCATCACCAAGTTTTACCTTATCGTCCATTCAAGCTTAGAATTTAGTCGTCCTCAAAGGAAATTCACCATCTACATTGTAAGAAAGACACCAACATCGTAAAGTATCAACCATGGACATGCGACCAACCATTTATAGCTGAAAATTCTCTCAATAGATAGTTGAACTCCAGTACCCAAAACAAGGTCAGACCAAGAAAGAAAAGAACAAAAATGGGAATAGATAATAATAGAGTATCTAGAATGCTGTCGAAAGAGTCGATCGACTTTAGGACTGAAAGGCATGGATACTAATAAAGAATTAAAACAAATTAGATTATGGCACGAAAATGTTAAACTACAATATATTATATATTGACAAAATTCTAACCCTTCTCAAGTGTCCAAAACCCCTATCCGCAAATAGGTATCACAATCGAATGCAAAGCCCGAACCAAGTCGTCCCTCAAGGTAAGGCAAGGAAATCTGAGGAACCATATTTGGAGCAATGTGGAATGGAACCAAAAATCAAGTCAAGAGAAACAGGAGAGAATAAAAAACAGGTCATTTTTAATAATGTATAAAAAACAAAAAACTGATCACATGCCCAAA